TTCTAATTCAGCCCCAAGTTTGAAATCTGGTGAGAAAGTACCACAATGAGTTCTGCTTCTCTTCTTAAAGTTTCATAATGCTACACAGCCATGCTCACTTAGGACAACATTGTATGTTAAAGGGTTATCTAGATTCATGCCTATATCAGAATTGCTGGTACAAATGTTGATCTTTGCTCAGAAAATAGAAGGAATCTGGTAATGGTTTTTTTTTGAGTAACACATTTTTGGCATAGGCTTTTTGTGAATTTATTTCATCAGAGACACAGAATGTCTAGACTGATGTGGGATTTAAATGGGGTGAAGTAAAAGGGAAGAACAAGGCAGAAGAAAGGAACGAAAATAAGTTAGTTATGCAGATAAAGGATACAAGTGAGACAGAAAAGTACCTTGTCAACTAACAATTGTAATATGTTGAAAGCCCATTGTGTTGGTTCCAAGATGGCCTTAAACTTTTTGATATATGTAGAGTTCACAATACTTGACCTCTGGGAATACAGTATAATATCACTAGTACTGATATACTTCTGATTTTCTAAAACAGTCACTTTGGGTTCTACAATGGAGTATGCATTGCACTACGCTCTGATATTCCTTTATCCTTGTTTTGAATCTTGATGTCAAACTTATGTTCATTAATTCTTTTCTTGGTTTTGTCAGATTTGTCTTAAGTAGAATCCAGAGGGAGATTGCAGGAAGAGCATGTGAAGAGATCTCTAATCTTGAATATCTGCTTGTTGGAGGTTTTGATGGCACTATTTGTGTTGATATGGGAGCAAATTAGACATGTGAGTTTGTTGCAGGATCTGGTTCCCATGTCAGTGTTATGTTTTGTTGGTTCTTGTTCCTTGTGAGGATCTGCTTCAAAGTTGGGTGGTTGAGTGTATGAATCTGCTAACAAGTGCCTGACAAAATGAGGTGTCATTGGCAGAGATGGGCTATGGTATATCAATCAAATATTTGAGTGATTTGAGATGTGATAGTGGTATTCTGTCTTTTAATAGATAACAAGGCATAATCAAACAAGTTACCTTAAAATAATAAGGTAAAAAGGTAAATAAGTCCCTGTGGATTTTACTCCACTAATCATTGCCCACTATAGTGCTCATCTCCATTTCAAGGCTATGAAGCCAGTGCTACCTGAAGACATTTCTGTGGTCATGTGGCCAGCATGATGTTACAGAGTGCAGTTATCTTCCCACCGAAGTGATGCCTATCTACTGTATCTACTTGCATTTGCACGCTTTTGAACTTCTAGGTTGGCAGGAGCTGAGGTGAGGATGGGAGCTCACCCCATCATTGGTGCTTGGGTCTTGAATCTGGGCTGCTAACTTTCAAGCCAACAAGCCCAGCATCTTAACTGCTGAACCATTACGCCACCCATTTTAAAATAACAAATAACATTAATTAATTATTAATGAATGTAATAATTAATAGTTACTTGATGAATAGTGGAGGAGCAGTTTTTGCCAACAATTAATCTTCCTTCCTTCCTTCCTTCCTTCCTTCCTTCCTTCCTTCCTTCCTTCCTTCCTTCCTATCTCACTATCCAAAGGAACTCTGGGAAGCAAATCAAGTAGATTATATCTAGGAAATTAAGAAGGAACCATTCAATGCCACATTCTTCCAAGTTCTCTCCTTAGATCCCACAAGAATATATCAGAGAGAACTATACCATCTCATTTTAAAAATTCTTAGTTATATAACACTCCTGACCAGTTATATGTAGTGCCCAAAATATATTTTAAAAAAGGCAATGTGGGTCATCCCATTGTTTCAAATATTGGAACTATAATAACTGATAGATAAACAGCTAGTTTGGTCAGTGCAGTGATTCTCAACCTTTTTAATGCCGTGACCCCCAATCGATCGTAAGTCGAGGACTTCTCAACCGGTCGTAAGTCAAGGACTACTCAACTGGTGCAGCACCATTTGCAGAATGGAACTTTTGGCGGGCTCAGCAGGGCAGAGACAGCCTGGATGATTCCTATTGGCTTTTGAAAGCCAATAGAATTAGACTCTATTCAAGAGAGTCTATTCTATTGGCTTTCAAAAGCCAATAGAATAAAAGGGAGTAGCACAGCTAAGGAAAATGGGGGAAAAATGGCGGACTGCATTGTTTGGCAACCCCCGTGAAATGGCTGTTCGACCCCAAATGGGGTCCCGACCCACAGGTTGAGAACCACTGGTCTAGTGGTTAAGGTACTAGACTAGAAACTGGGAGACTGTGAGTTCTAGTCCCATTTTAGGCATGAAAACCAGCTGGATAACTTTGGACCAGTCACTCTGTCTCAGTCCAGCCCACCTGACAGGATTGTTGTTGATGGTGGGGAAATACGAGAAGGAGGGAGTATTAGGTATGTTTGCCCCCTTGAGTTATTTATAAAAATAATAAAAACAGGATGTAAATAAACTGGAACATCAGATGTCATGATTTCTGTCTTTTTACCTTATGCCATATTTCTGTCTTTTTACCTTATGCCATCAGCATTCCTATCTACATAAAAGACACCACAGACTCCCTAAGAAAAGTCAACCACCCTCCTCCTGATTTTTGTCACCATAAACCAAAAACAGCTGTCTTCATAGAATGATCTTTGCCAAGTTTTTGAATTATTGGGAATTATTGGCAGGAATGCCAAGCGGCCCTATTCTAGATGGATGGTGTTCTAAAGATTAGTGTTCTTTAATCTTTTCTCTTCTGATTTCCTCCAGACCTCTTGCTAGCTTGGCAGTAGTAAATTTTTAATAACCTCCAACTCTTTGGTGTAGTTTGAAAACAGAAACAGAAATGGGCAATGGGTTTGTGTGCTAATTCTTGATCCGGTGAAGCTGGATAGTAAATTTGCTACAAATAGTATATGAAAGGAATGGCAATTTGTGGCCATTCAGGCAATGCAGAAATATGGGATTCTCATTATACAGACCATACTGGAGGACTACAGGTTCCGTCTTTCTCTGCAGCATTGCAAAATTCTTCTCTTGGGTAGGTGGAATGTGAATAGTTCTACAGTATTTCTGCCATGTTGCTTTAAAATATTTACACATATCAATCAATAATATGCATGTTTTGTGTCATTTATTTTGGATGTATCTTTCATGTCATAGTCTCTTTTATAATATGCATCAATCATGCAGCTCTGCTTTCTCATCTGCCATCAAGATGTCTTGGGAGATGGTTGAGAATTGCTTGGGTCACAATCCTCCTCGTCTAGAGGGAATCCCATGGGAAATGCCTATGATATTGTATGATGAATAGCTGTAGATGCATGTATTTATGTCTCTATTAAATATCAAAATAATTAATTATAGATATTCCACACTAGTTAGAGTTTCCCTGGAATGAATTACTTATAAATTGAGGGGTTTTCATATTTATAGAGCTTTTGGTGCAGTTTGTTTGTTTTATTTCCCAGAGATCAACATTTGGATTATTTTGGGCATCTACCTTCACCATCCAATTGTTTGGGTACCTTTCTTTAACAGTTCAAAGCATTCTACAGCAATTCATATCTGAGTCATTGGCTGCTTCTTTACAAGGTACCACGTCATTTTTGCAATATTTTCTGAATCAAAGCTCTATGACAGGACTTTTCAACCTTTTCACCCATTGTACCACTTTTAGGGTATGGCAATATCCAAGTACCACCAGTCGCCTAGCAAGCTGTCAAAAACTTGATGACCTCCCCCCAAAAAGGAAAAAAGTGATAAAGTACAGGTAGTCCTTGACTTACAACAGTTCGTTTAGTGACTGTTTGAAGTTACAATGGCACTGAAAAAGTGTCCCCCAAGTCACAGCCGAGCAAGACACCTGCCCACCTGGCAGCACTCTTCCTCTTGTCCGAGGTTTCCATTGTTGTGAGCATTTCTGTTGAGGATTGGCAGTGGGGGTGGGGTGCGGGAGTGTTTGGTTTTTATTCCCCCCCCCCCTCCCGTCTGCCTGGTGGTTGCAGCAGGTTTTGGTCACTTCACATGACCTTGAGACACTGTGACCGTCATAAATATGAATCAGTTGCCAAGCATCTGAATATATATCACAAGACCCTGGAGAGGCTGCAACATTCCAACATTCCAACCAACATTGATTGGTGCTTCTTCTGGGCTCAGCAGAAGCACAAGGATCAGCGCTGAGCTCCAGCTGGAACCTGGCATTGATCTTGGCGCTTCCGCTGAGCCCTGACAGCCCTATAGCTCCAGCCATCTCTCGCTCAGGCTTATGCGGTGCTGCCACCGGTTCAACTCATTCCCCTCCCCCGCTACCACTTTTCTAGGATGGTCGCGTACCACCTGCCAGGTGCCAATATACCACGGGTGGTACCCGTACCACTGGTTGAAAAGCCCTGTTCTATGAAATACTGGGGAGTGGTTCTCTTTCAACTATTTATCATCAAAAATGTCCTATACAGAGGCGCGCTCTCTAGCAAAGAGACAAGTTATTCCATTTCCCAATCACTTTGACAACAGACCAAAGTTGAGGTGACCTCCAAATTGACCTTGGAAAGGGAAGCTGGCAGTGCACCATAGTGTCCATTCCACTCTCTAGCCTTTGATCTACATTTTGGCCTTTTCCTTTGATCCTCACCCTTTTAATGGCTCTGGAGGATACTCAAAACTTGCACACCCATGGGTAATATTATGTAAGGTCTTCTTCATCCAATTATTATTTCCCAAACTACTGACTTTGGGTTTTTAAAAACTTTCTCCCCCCATATCCTCATTCCCACCCTCGTCCCACGGATCAACGCAGCTCCTGTTCTTTACACTCCTACGAAATTAAGACAAGTGAGATACGCGCCATCGTCCCAAGGCGCTGGACTATATAGCTTTCACCATCTCCAGTCGAGGCATCCTAGGCTGCTGAGGAAATTGGCACGGTCCTTCTAACTCAATGGATTGGAAGGGAAAGATTGTCTTTGCACCTTTTGGGGGGGAGGGGGGAAACAAGTAACTCACGGAGAAATTAAGTCGTAACTCCCAGAGGAGGACCCGGCGAGGAGGGAGGTGGAGTCCGGAGAGCGCGCAAGACCACGCGGTGGGAGTGCGGCGGACCCAGAGTGGGCGGACGGGTGGGCGAGGCGACGCGGCTCTTCGTTCGGCAGCGAGCTCCGGTCAAGGCTCCGCGCGGGGGGCGTGGGGGAGGCGAGAGCCCCGTAGTAAAAGCGCGCGGCTGCAGACGGGCAGCGCCTGCTGGACGACCGTATGTCCCTCTGGCTGCGGGAGGCTGCCCGCGCCAAGGAAGGTCGCCGGGAGTCCCGAGAAGCTGGGACGGGATGCAGCTCTCGCTGCTGCTGCTCTTCTCGACGTGCTGGTGGACGTTGGGGCCGGTGAGTAGGGATCCCTGGCGAGTTGAGCCTCGCCTCTCAGGCTTGGTCCTGACTCGGAAGGTCTGAGTTCCGGAGCAACGTGCAGAGCTCCTTTCCTGCGGCTTCTGCGAGAAAGGGGCGCGTTAGCTTCGACGCCGCGACCCTTTCAGCAGAGCCTCAGGGATGGAGAGACGCGCCTGGGATCTTGCCTTTCTGCTCTTCTTTTGGAAGAAAAATTCTGTGGGGCGAAGGAGGAAAACGCGTCCATATCGGCTACTGTTTGTCCCCCCGGTTGTGGGGCTGACTTTGCGGGCCGCGTTTGGCCAGGGTCGCCCCCCACTTAATGTGGGGTATGAACTTATTCCCCCCTCCCCGCACCCGCTTAGTATGTGGCACATACACACAAACACACACCCTGAATAGTTCCTGTTATTAATACTTAGTGCTAATAGTTATCACTTTTTAGAATTGTTGCTTATTCTTATGTTCCTTTCATTAAAAAAGGAGCGAACGGGGATCCTCAGGCTGTGCTGGATTACAGTTCTTATTATTCCCTTCCATTTCAGGTTGGGGAGGATGCCAGGCCCATCTGCACAGTCCCCGGTTGGGTGTTTGGTTATACTAGTGAGCTACTGTTAAATTTGAGCACAGGATAAAAAGCCAGCTAAATTTGAATGTCTATCGGGCTGATTTATTGGATTAAAACGAATGGAATAAAGAATTGATTTAAGGTGCCCAGGGCTTCGGCAGTTCCAGTGTCTACTGTAACTCCCTGAAAAAAGCTAATTCAATTTTAATTGATATCAGTGAAATTGCTATAAACAACAGGATGCCCTATTTCAAGGAGTTTGAAATCCCACACATGCACCAGCTTTCAGGATCATTTAACAGATTTCACCACAAATGTTTAGCACTCAGAAATATAACAGTGAAGGAAAGACAAAAGGGTGGAGTTTTCACAAGCTTTTCTTTGTTTAAGGTTGGAGTGGAAATTCTGTATTACTTTAAGGCCGAAATTCTGTCCGTTTTAACCATTTTAATGGACAACTTGATTTTGGTGTATGTGTGTAGCACTGTAAATTTTGGTGCATTTATGGCATGAAGTTGTGAGGACTAGTGAACTTTAAAACAAGACTGCAGATGTGATTTTTGCCAATCATTTACAAAATACAAAATATTAAGGAAAAGAAGGCTAAGCTAGGGATAAAGATGTGTGTTTTCTGGATAAATCAATTGGTTTATCTTTTTCCATTGTTTGTTACCTGTTTTAAGTGAAGCAAAACAGGCTTATGTAGAGCTTATATCTGCAGCAGAATGAAGTATTAGAATTCATTGACCTAATATTGTATATGGAATGGCTGTTAAAAAAAATACAAAGGTCATCCCTGCCAGGAGCCAGAGTGAAGACCTCCAAATAGGTAATAACTTTTATAATAATTTATTAGAAAGTAGAGGAGAAAGCTTATGAGATTTTAGGGCTCAACTTCAGGGTCTATATCAAGATTTTTGAGAATTATGAAGCAATAACTAAATGTCTTCAGAGAGTCCTGTTGTGTCCCTCTTTTATAATCCTCCTTGAAAGTAAAAAAACCAAATGCAATGAAAATGATTTTGTCTTGGTATACTTTTCTAATTCCAAGGAGATAGTTTCTCTCTGCCATTTGGTTTCTATCATTATGATAACCTCATTCTGTGGTATTAAGTGTCCTAAACTTAGAGAGAATATGAAGTGGCCTAAGAAAAATCACATTAGGTCAATGTTTATTATTATTATTTTATATAAACATTTTGGCTGTTGTGTATTCCCTTATTTGTATAGTGTATGATACATACATTCCAGAGCTTTTAGTTTTGTTTACTAACTCCTATAAATGTAAAGTCTCTTTTGAGTGAAACTTGATTTGATGACTTCATAGATAGGTCCTTCTAGTTTTATTTGTTGCAGTATGGTATTCTCATCTTCAAGATGATTTTTTAATTTCTCAGTCTAACTTGCAGACTTAAAGTATTTTGATAGTTTATCATCCAACCACTAAACCGACCCCAAAAAGTTTAGCTTTTTGATATGGCCAGATTTAACTTGGTTAAATCATCTGACAGTTGAGCACTGAAGTGCTATTGCAACTAAAGCAAAAAAAAGGTCACAGCATTTTTCAAACAGGATTAAAAAACAACAACAATACAAACATGGTACAACTGCTTACCACGATTGATTCATGAGATTTTGTGGTAAAGCTAATCTTTTTATAATGTTTTACAGTTATCACATATGGTCCCTAGACATGTTTTCACATTCAAGCAAGGAGCTACTTGATAGGTATTTGATAAGCAGATACAATTGTTGTTAATCTCTATAAATTGATAATTTGGTGTTTGAAATAGTATACTGGAATGTTATTTAAATAAAGGAATAGTTGTGTTATGTGGATATGTAAGAGGTGTACTTTTTTAATGGTTATATGTGTGAAGTACAACCCAAAAAAGTTTAACTGAAGTTTAGAGCTTAGTCATCTTAATAAAAGACAAATAAATTCAGAATATCTCTGGATTTTCTTCAGTAATAAAAAAAATTGGTTCCACTCCACTGGAGTAACCAAAATCTTTTCATTTCTTAGTGCAAACAAAGAGAAAATAGAAAAAAAATATAGAATCCAAGCAAATTGAACAATACACAGTTGCTTCTCTCTTATTGATGAAGAGGAAGAAGTAGACAAAATTTATCCCTGTTAGAAAGCCAGCATTGATTTTCTAAAGTGCCTGAAGTTCTAGTACAGAAGTGAGGAAAAAGATTGTTTATAAACTCAACAAAACTTCACTTTTGCAAAAAGAAGCTTCTATATTTTGCACTAGGTTATGCTATAGTGACCCCAAACTAAGTTGGATCAGTTCTTAAGTTAACATCAGAATTGGAACATTGTTTTCACCACCACAACTTTGTTCTGTAAAAGTCTAATTATTTTTGACAAGCTTCTGATATTTTTTTTACCTTAGTAATTTTTTAAATTCAGTTTTAAAGTTGCTCACATTAATTGTTGTCATTTTACATAATTTCATATCTTAAATTTTCTAAAGAAAAAGAACATAACACCGAGAAAGTGTTGTTTCATAGTTGCCCAGCTTTTATGCTGGAAGGACATCTGTGCAGAAATTAACAAGACTGGTTTTGTTAGTATAAAATCTTTTATCAGTCAATTACAAATCCTGAAGAGGCATTTATATAATATGCTAGACTTCACTTCTTTAGCAGTAAACTAAACAGTAAGCCATTATTGTGGCTTATTGGGTTGTTGCAAGACTATTTTGTTAGTTTATGACTTGTTTGGACTCAGAAAACAGAATAATTTGATAACTTAGGTTAAAATATGTGTAAGTGCAGTTTTCGAGTATGGAATTATTTGGTTCAAATTTTGAACGTAAAGGTTAAAAAACCCAAAATCTTTGAAAAGGAGATTTTGTAGTTCAGAAGTAATAAAGTTCTTGGACTAAATTATGGCTATAAACACAAAAACAACGATGAGAAAACTCTGGTTCTTTGTTGTCATCTAGTGTTCATCTAGGTTTTTGCAGTAGCCCTGATTTAGAATAAGATAATTTTTACATTAAAAGAGATTTCAAACTGTCTTATCCATTCCTCTGTTTAATGTAGGATTTACAATGTAGAATACTCTCTGGCTATATAGATGGATACCTTAGAGCAGAGGTCTTCAAACTTGGCCCTTTCATGACTTGTGGACTTCAATTCCCAGAATTCCTCAGCCAGGCATGCTGACTGAGGAATTCTGGGAGTTGAAGTCCAAAGTCATAAAAGGGCCAAGTTTGAAGGCCTCTGCCTTTAGGAATATATTTGTCAGACATTAAGCCTTGACTTCCACAGAGTTCCTTCTAAAACAAAGAATAGTGTAGAAATTATGAGAGCTTGAGGTACTGAGTTGTGGAAGGCTTATGAAAATGGATCTCATTCTACAATCACTAGATTAGCCAGTCATGCCATGTCTCATTTGAACTACAGCACATATCTAAAACATTAGAAAGCCAGGCTTTACTGTGGTTTAATGCTGGAATTGGGAAAAGCATCATTGACATGGGGAGAGAGAGTAAAAAACATTGCAAGAAATTCTCGCTCATGTTTTTCAGTTATTTTAAGTAGAAGTTAAAGTTGCTTTACCTGCTTGCTTGCCACTGCTGTACTCTGCAATAATAATTGCAGAGCAACACTTAATCCTTTGACACTTGAGACAAAGATGGGAAGTGAGAAAATACTTGTGTCTCTTAGACATGACCAGAAACTAGAGTTCTAGATATTTTATGGTGAATTGACAACATTCTACTACGTAGGTTTAAGGTGTAGTTTGCAACAGACTAAATGTTGTCCGATGTGTGGTATAACTCAGTGTTTGTCCCTCTTTTATTTCTTATTTATTTCTTATGCCTTCCAAGTCGTTGTTGACTTCTAAGAACTGCCTAGACAAATCCCTGTAGTTTTCTTGCCAGTATTTTTGGAAGTGGCTTGCTATTGCTTTCTTCCCAGAGTTGAGAGAGAATGGCTGACCCAAGGCCACCCAGATAGCTTTGTGCCAGAAGGTGGAACTAGAACTCCCAGTCTCCAGCTTTGTGTTGGTGCTTTAACCCGGGGGTCTTCAAACCTGGCACTTTTATGACTTGTGGACTTCAACTCCCAGAATTCCTCAGCCAGCATGCCTGGCTGAGGAATTCTGGGAATTGAAGTCCACAAGTCATAAAAGGGCCAAGTTTGAAGACCCATGCTTTAACCTGTACACCAGATTGACTCTCACCAAAGCTGTTCCTCTGCTAATTGTCTTTAAAAAAATAATTCTGAGAATAAAGGGAGTGCTTATTTGGTATTCCAGATGAGGATATGGTTATAATATGTGTCCGCAGATGGAGATTTTAAAGAAGTCAGTCTGATGGCTGAGCCCACAAAATCAATGATCTGCCCTTTGTTATGTGTCCTACACACAAACACACACATGCATGGACACTATAAATGTTTTACGTAAAGCTGTGAGACATTTTGGTTGACACTTCTAAATAACTGTCACCTGATGTTTTATTTTCCAATTTAGGAATCGGCAACATACAAGGTGGCATTCCTTAATCCAGCTATGCAAAATTTTATGTGTTGAAATTTGCATTTGGTCAGATATGCTTAACCAAACTGTTGAATAAATCACAGTACGTGGATTTGCACAACCATAAATCATTATTTAATTTGTTTAATCTTGGATATGGTTATATATTTATGAATCTGGTTTAGTGTGATATGTGAAGCCAACTGGCTTTTAACTGAACGTCAGATGTTTGGATCAATCATGTATAAGTCATTATCTCTTGGATATAGTTCCTTAGGAGCTACCTTTTAGAACCAGATATTTTTTATCTCAGAATTAATGAATTCCCAATTGAAATTTAAGAAACCAAACTGATCTTGCTACAGCTATAGGTAATCTGCAACTTGCAATAAGTCCTCACACTTAAAACTATTATAGTACCCCTCCCCCCATAGTCACATGATCATTTTTTGGCATTTGGCAACCAGCATGTATTTACAACAAGGTCATGGCAGCATCCTGGGGTCATGGGATCGCCATTTGAAACCTTCCCTGCCGCTTCAGACATGCAAAGTCAATTGGGAAACCACGATTTACTTAATGACTGCATGCTTCAACTGAGAACAGCAGTAATTTGCTTAACAATCATGGCAAAAAAGATGTATAATGCAGCTTTAACAACCACCTTCCTTAGGAATGGAAATTGATCCCAGTTGTGGCTGTAAGTCAAAAACTATCTGTAATTTGTTGCTCTAACCATTATTATATATATATTGTTTGTTTGCAAGCTAATGCTCCCAAACTGGCATTTATCAGTGTTGAGACATACCTGACTAAAATTTTCCAAAAAGTGGATGCTAGCTAATTTCAATAGACATTGCATAATTAAATAAGCCATAATTCACTAGATTTTTAAAACAAACTGTACCGTAAAATATAGTTTACAAACAGCAAAGGCTGTTAGTATAACACATACTAAGCCAACACAAAACAAGCCGTGTTTATAAATTAGTGCAATAGGCAAACCACTTTTGTGTTTTTTCTAAGCTGCAGAAGAGTTTGGCAGAGAACAAGTTTGTTAGTCAAATTTAGCATAACCTGTTAATTTTGGGGCTCTGGTATCTTACGTCAGAAAGAAACTAGAGAATAAATCTCTTTAGTTTGTTAATGACTTTGTCCTCTTTTTCTTCTGGTTAGAAGAATTCTATGATCTCGGGTGAACTTTGGTAATCATATTATAGATATCTTACAAATTATGCTCTTTTGTAGAAGAACCAGCAGGTGCTAAGCCAATCTTGGAACCGAGTGTGAATTGTTTTTAAAAAAAGGTTGGCTAAACCATTAACTTTGGTTGTCATGTATGGATACCATATTTGCTGCAAAATTCTAAACAACCACATGATGGCAACAAGGAGATTCAAAACTCAATCAGATTTTTGCAGCCTGATGTCAATTTATTTATTTATGAGACTTATATACCGCTTTAAGTGCAAGCACTCTCTAAGTGGTATACACCAGTAAGCAATGTATATATAAATATATATATATTTACATTGCCCCCAACAATCTGGGTCCTCATTTTACCTACCCCGGAAGGATGGAAGGCTGAGTCAACCTTGAGCCGGTGAGATTTGAACCGCTGACCTGTTGAACACAGTCAGCTAAAGTGGCCTGCAGTACTGCACTCTAACTGCTACGCCACCTCGGCTCTTAGTGTGACTTCAACCTGTACTGGGGAACTAATAACATAGAACTACCTTTTATAATCTTTATAAGAAACATAGACTGGTCCAGGCATATAACTAGAGCAATAAATAAAAGCTTTCTATTATGACTCCCCCCCCCCAGTTGGTTTTGCTAGCATTGATATTCTTTCTGCAAAATCAAATGTTTTAGTTTTTGTTTTTATTCAACAGGTAAACAGTATTCACCCAGAATGCAGAATGCAACAGGAAATCTATCAAGAAGAAAAAAAGTGTATGGAACGTCTAAAGAATGCCAATACAGTGAGTTTAACAGGTAAGATAATGGCTTATAATGGCATAGCAGTCACTCAGTAACAGTCCACTGGCTTTCTATACCGGCTTACTGAGGATATGATGATGTGGCACAAAATGGCACCTTGTTCTAAATTATAATATGATTTGGATTTTGGTTAGTGTTGTGAAGAACAGCCTATGATACCAAAATGGTATCAAAATGGTATCATTCTCCTTTTTGAGGTTCTTGGAACTTTTCTGGTGTTGATTGCTGAAAACTGGTAATGTTTTTTCCTGCTGTTTTTAGATGGGAAACATACGAAATTTGAAAAACCTAAAGTTATCATTTATAGTTTTAAAAAAGTAAAAGACTTCGCACAAATTCATTCCACAGCCAGGCACTCCACATATATAATATGGCTTCATCCACACTGTAGATTGTTATCACCAAAAAGTAGTCCACCCCTGAGTGAGTTAGCTCTATCTCAACTGAAACATTCAATGTGTTGTAGAAGCATCATATCTGGTGTACAAACCAACAAATGGAAACCAAGAGTTTCATAAACTTTCTCTCCTGCCATCTGCTGGTCATCTGAACATTTGCAGCCCTATATCTTGAGCCTAACAAGCAACTCGCACATTGATATAAAAAATCTACACACCCCTGTTAAAATCTCAGGGTTTTGAGATGTAAATTAAACCAAGATAAATCACTTCAGATTTTTTCCCCCACCTTTAATATAATCTGTAAGCTTTTACAATTCAGTTGAAAAACTAACTGAAATCTTTTGGGAAAAAATAAAACTAAAAAACTTAAAGTAATATGGTTGCATAAGCATGCATACCCTTAAACTAATATTTGTTGAAGCTTCATTTGATTTTATGGCAGAATTCAGTCTTCTGCAGTAGGAGCCTATCAGCAAATCACATCTTGCCTGGGGTATCTTTCCCGACTCTTCCTTGCAAAAGCACTCCAGATCTGTCATATTGCGAGAGCATCTCCTATGCATATCCCTCTTCAGGTCACCACACAGATTTTAGATGAGATGAGATGAGATGAAATAAGATAATCTTTATTGTCATTTTTTACTATGAGCACACTGGCCCACATTAAAAATGAACTTCTGTTGCCTGCTCTCAAAAGAAAGTATATATCTATCCATACATATACATATAACACATATACACATGCTATATACCTACCTATATATATTCCTACATCCATACACACACACACACACACACACACACACTAATCATTGTCCATTTTGAATACATAGAAGAAAGAGGGTTCAATTGGATTCAGGTCCAGACTCTGATTCGGCCATTCCAAAACTTTGATCTTTTTCTGTTCCATTGTTTTGTTGATTTGGAAGTATGTTTTGGGTCATTGTCATGTTGAAGGGTGAAAGTCTTCTTCATCTTCAGTATTTTAACAGAGCCTTTGTGCCAAAATTGATTGATATTTGGAATTGTTCTTCATTCCCTTCACCTTGACTAAAGCCTCAGTACCAGCCGAAGAAAAGCAGCCCCAAAGCATAACGCTGCCATCATCACGCTTCATTGTGGGTAAGAGGTAATTCTGGTCATGTGTAGTGTAAATTTTGAATCGAATATACATTTTGGAGTAATGGCCAAAAAGCTCAACCTCAGTCTCATCTAATCATAAGAAATTTTCCCACATGATTTTGTCAGACTTGATGTAGATTTTTGTAAATGTAACTGGACTTGAATGTTTTTCTTTGTAAAAAAAAAAAAATGCTTCTATCTTGCCACCCTATCCTACTACCCAGAAGTATGGGAAATTGTTGTCACGTGCCATGCACAATCAAAAAATTGTGTATGGCACGTGCCAAAAATTACTACAGCTCATTTAATGTTGCAGTAGGTCTCTCTTCAGCCTCTTGGATCAGTTTTCTTCTTAAAATAGTTTTGGAGAAAGATCCAGTGCTTGGCAATGTGTCATTGTTGTCCCATATTTTCTTTCACTTTTTGATGGCTGTCTTCACTGTGTTCCATGGTATATCTAATGCCTGGACATTTTTTTGTATCTTTCCCCTAACTGACAATTTCCAACGAGATCCCTTTGATGCTTTGTAAGCTCTTTGCAGACTATGGCTTTTGCTATAAGAAGCAATTGAGCCAATATCAGAAAATTCCCACTAAAACAGCTGAACTTTAATATGGACTTCATCAGAGTCACTTTCATTTATGGCAGGTATGTAATGACTACTATTTAACATCAGTTTGAATGTGATTGGTTATTTCTGAACATATCCACATCCCTACTTATAAGAAAGTGGGGCACACTTATGGAATTATGTTATTGTAAGTTTTTTATTTTTTTCTTTTGGTTTGTTTTTCAGTTGAATTGTGCAGCTTATGAGTTATATTAAAGGAGGAAAAAATTCTGACATGATTTAGCTGGGTCTGATTTTTTTTTTTTTTACATTTCTAAAACCTAGTATTTTAATGGGAGCATGTAGACTTTTTATATCCACTGTAGAGGTATGTAGACTCAGCCATCAGCAGAAAATATCCTTGGGCAGTTTCTGGGATTTGAGCCTTCTATCAAGCCTCAGGCTTTTCAGGAAGGCAAGAAATTGGTGGCTGCAGTTCATATGTCAGTTGCCACTTTGTTTTTCTCATAATGCCATAGGCATTATGGAAGAAACAAAATCATGGGTGCTGGAAAAGGCTTCCCATGGATCATCCTTGGAAAAGCAGATGGTATTGTAAATAAAATTAGAAACATGATGCTGTAGCCCAGTGGTTCTCAACCTTTTTAATGCCGCGACCCCCAACTGGTCTAAGTCGAGGACTATTCAACTGGTGCAGCACCGTTTGCAGAATGGGACTTTTGACGGGCTCAGCAGGGCAGAGACAGCCTGGACAATTCCTATTGGCCTTTGAAAGCCAATAGAATTAGACTCTATTCAAGAGAGTCTATTCTATTGGCTTTCAAAAGCCAATAGAATAAAAGGGAGTAGCACAGCTAAGGAAAAGGGGGGGAAATGGTGGACTGTGTTGTTTGGTGACCCCTGTGAAATGGTCGTTCGACCCCAAATGGGGTCCTGACTTACAGGTTGAGAACCACTGCTGTAGCGTATAAAACAGGGGTCCCCAACCTGTGGGACATGCCCCACTAGTTGGCCCTGAGGGGATTGCAACTGGGCCATGGAAATGGCCAGCAAGCATGCATGGATGGCCATCCACACTTGTGCCAGCAGCAGGGGAGCGCATGCCCGCCAGTTCCATTTGCTGGGCAGAAAGCGCATATGCCCGCCACTCACGTGGAACCATCCCCTCCCTGCCGCCAGTCCGCAAGCCATAAATGTTGGGGAACTCTCCTATAAACAATGATATTGGTCATTGATTCTCCCTAATATACTTAGGGCAGAGGTCGGCAACCTGCGGCTTTTTCTGTCTTTACTTCTAAAAGAAATTTTGTTGTCCCTTTAAGTCAAATGGAATAGAAGATTATCAAAAAGCAAATACAAGAAGTACAATATTTTCCACAAGTAGGTGCCTAAGTCAAGACCATCTGCTCATAGTGTAAATAAATGATGTTTTTATTCTTCTAGTAGGGAGACAATAAATATATCAGTGAGCTTATAAATGAAAAATAAGTGTATCTTTGCCAGGAGTGCAAGGAAAACATATCAGTAGCCTAATGCTACTTTATAGACAAGGATAACTCTGTTAGTGTTATGCAAAGCTAAAATTCAAAGACCATTGGATTGAATTGTCCTTTCAGATTGCATTTCTAAATCAAATTAGTTGAGTGTGTTAGGTTGAATCAGTTGACATTCATCAGTTGAATCAGTTGACATTCCTGATGAAAACACATTTTTATTATATTTAATCTTTAAACTGTATTGAGTAACTACACAGTTTGAACTGCAATTCTGAATTCAACAGATAAGTCAGGAGATCTACCGGTAAATCAAATTTTCCAACCTCAGCTCTTGATCGTGGTTAATCTGCATGCTTCTAATTTCTGTTTCAAAAGGACTACCTAGAATTTCATACTAATAGGACATGTGAACTAGTAACCAATCCAAATCTGGAAGATCCTTGCAATGACAAAGCTTAAAAACATTTTTGTCATAAATTCTAAAGGAATGACAATAAGATTCTCCCTACATTTTATCTTTATTTTCTGAACCAAGATATCACCTGCATTAATGAGCAGACTACTCTGATTGAATATCTTTGACCTTCCATGTTGAGTAGCCAATCATCATTGCTGCTCCCAGATTAATTAGCCAATTATAATTATACCTTATTTCTTGTGTTTTATTCCAGAGAAAACAATGCTATAAATATTTTGCTAGAGATCTAAGTGGAATGAAATAAGAACTTTTACTTATATATCACCTGTCACATATATTTTAATCAAGGCAGCTTAAAAAAAATCTATAATTGGCTGGGTACACGGATAATGCTAAACCATAAAACATGATTTACCAATCATATTGGCTGGTTTTCCCATGAACTAAGCCAAAATGTGTTCTGTTTGTTTTGAGTTAAGTAAAGTGTAATTAATTTGGCTTTGACTGCATTCATTATAGTTTATCTTAAATCAAGAGATAGGAAGGAATTGAACTATGTATAGCAGGGGTGTCAAACTCGATTTCATTGAGGGCTGCATCAGCATTGTGGTTATCCTCGGGGGGGTGTGGCCAGCGTGGGTGCGGCCTACTGAGTGGTTGTGAATGGAGTGGGTATGGCCTACTGGGTGGGCATGGCCAGCTCTACATCGTTCACTTCAATGGTGCCTGTGGGGGCCTGGCCAGGAGTGGGACAGATCTGAGGGTCTCTGGCAGAAGGGGGTGGGACCAGGACCACTTCCAGGTGATGATGCATTTCTTCATTCCTCACAAAGGGTGACACCTCCACAGCATGCACCTCCCCAACAAACACAAGGCCCCGGGGGCCGACACAGCAGGGGCTGGTTCCTCGCTGTTTTCAGATGGCCTTGTGGAGCTAAGACTGAATGCATTTCAGCATAGATGGCCACCACAAAGTTGTACATCG